GCAGGCTGGCTGATCACTTCCAGGACTCCCCTCCTAAAATCAAGCAATGTTTCAGYTGATGGTTTAAAAGAGCAGCAGATCTGACTCAGTTTAAAAAGCTCAGTTTTGGGACCTTTCAGGCAGCTGGCCCCTACTCTCAGTCCTGTAGGGCAGGCAGGCACCTCCTGATGTCTCAGAGAGGGCCAGGAGAGTGGAACCCTGAAGGGAACAGGCCAGCCCTAGGAAACAGCCTTTACCCAGCTCAAGGCTCAAGTGAAATGTGCAGTATTCTAACATGTAAAATTGAGGCTGAGGGGATGGAAACTGCAGCTGGAGGTGGTCAGTGGTAAACAGGCCTGTGAATTACCTCCCCAACTGACCATGAAGTCAGTCTGAAGAGAAAAACTTGAGCAGCCCAGTGCAGTCCTCTGTGCCTCCTCTCCTGCCTTAGGGGTCACGSTCAGCTCAGCTCCAGCACTCGAAAACTGCTGAATCAGGATCACATCAAACACAAGACAGACTTCACATGTGTGTCCCTGTCACCCTGGGACAAATCATTAATCTAAATTGTGGAAGTACAACCCCAGCAGAGAAAGAAAGAGAATTGAATGATTTATTCCTGCTAGGAGGGAGAAAGCTGCTTTCAAAGAGATGATGCTCCTCCTGTAAACAACCTGCTGCCTCTGGCTGCTGGCGAGTCCTCGTATGGTGATGAACCCTTGTGCTCCTTAYCCACAGTCTCCTTTTTGCTGTTAGTTTCAGGTACCCGTTTTGCATCCAGCACCATATTTGAACTAGCAGAGAACACGATGGGATTTGCGTTTAGACWAACTATTTAAGGCTCATAATTGTGCACTTGGTGTGATTTCTTTCCTGTGATGGGTAGAAAAGGTCTGTGATACAATGGTACACTTGATGCCTCACAAGGACGGCCATTACAACAGTATTCCAAAGGCTGATGTTATGCTGGTTTTGTTATACTGCTTGATATACATCTTGAATAAAGTCTTAATCTTTTCTTTATTAAAAAAAAAACAAACAAAAACAAAAACATCTTTAGTCTGTTCAATGTATCTGGCAGGCCAGAATAATCACTTTGACCGCTGTATTATTTTTATCTGAATTCTGGCTGACTGTATATAGATGTATTCACTAAGTGCTGCATGTCCTTCAGAACTTTCTGTATTATGAACTGGAAAAAGAACAAAATACAGCTACTGAACACTCTGAGTAAGTAGTGAATTCATTGCAATGCTTGTACAGCAAACCTTGGATAGCTCTTGCAACTCTGGGGCTGAAAACCAGGGGCTGTCTGCTCAAAAATGGGTTATCAGAGAACGCTTTAAAGCACTGCTTCCATACACTTGCTGGACTTTCAGCTCTGTGGAGAAAACGGCTATCTAGCCCTTAGCAAAACCAGGGTCTAGCTGCTCTGCAGAGTCCAAACAGACCCCATGATAAACCCTTGGGTTTGTTCCATTTATGTGTGACCAGGAAAATGCACTGTGAGCTGTAGTTAGGCCTAAAGAAAGAAGAAACAAGAAATTACTCCAACTTGTCTGCTTGAGGATGTCATGCAGGACCCAAGGAATACATTCTACTCAAAAGCCAACAGAAGACACAAAATGTGAGTCATCTAATGAAAGTTGATGGACAATTCAAAATCAATTATAAACACTGCATGTAGCCATGAAACTGGTTTTGAGTTTTTTTTTTTTTTTACCTGTGCTTTCTGGTATGGACACAAGGCAACAGTGTGTTATTGTGATGGGCAACTATGCTGGGATGGGCCCTGCTCTCCAGTGAGCCACCAATAAGTATGGACACAGTAAAATAGATCATGGGGTTATTAACATACTTCTTTATAAATATTAAATATGTTGAATTATTCACTGTTAGTGCTGTTTAGAGTATATTCCTCCATGTTACACAATCACAGCAAACCACCAGACATCAGCAGTGTGGGTGACCAGCCTGACCTCTGCTAGGTAAAACACAAACTGCAGATGAAGATAATCTCGAGTATTCCTTTATTTTGGGCATGGATTCCCATAATTCTGCTCATGATATGCATGTGTTTATTTAGAAAAAGWACAGGCATTACAGATTTACATTCCAAAATTCAGACCGTGCCACATGACCACTCCCCCTGTCCTAGAGATGTGCAAAACCAAGATTTCTACACGCGAAGATTTGTGCGGTCGTGGTACTTCTGGAACGGGTCATCAACATACCAGTTCCTCCTTTTCCAGAAGGAAGTGGTCATTTTATCCAGGAGCTTACACTGTGTCCTCGTGCACAACACAAACTCCCTCAAACGCTTCTTCCGGGCAGCTGACTTCTTCCAGAGTTTCTTCTTATAACCAGCCTGTCAGGAAAAATTAAACACACAAAAAAAAACCCCACTTTTTAGCAGGTCACTGCAAATACACAAATACAGCCACATTGCTCAGCAAACCTGGATAAATCCCCCACTTTTAGGAAAATGGGAGTCTCTCTACAGAGCTTTTTTAATTTCCATTCCAGCCACTGCCCTCCAAGGGAAGGAAAACAATTTTACATTGACTGTGAAAAACAGGCTCTCATTATCCAAAAAATCTCACCTTTCTCCTAACCCAGAGGCCATTGTGCAGCCGGAGGAACCTTTTGACCACAGATTTCACACTTTTCCTCTTTCCTTTCCGTAAGCTGCAGTAGGTGAGGCTCCTTGCTGGCTGCTGGAGTAAACTTGGAAGTAGAGGCGTGACACTAAAAAAAAAAAAATCAAACCAACCCCAAAACAGGGAGGAAAACAGAACAGGAATGAAATACTTTTTTCTAAAAGTAATCATTGTCTTTATCACAGAGAGAGAGATCAAAAGGGGCTGTGGCTTGTTTGAATAGTAACAAGGACTCACCTAACATGACAGCACAGCACCTCATCAGTATAGAATACCAACTGCAGGGCTGGACTCTTGACTAAATTCAGCTCAAAGTTGCTATTCCTCACAGAATACTTTTTTTTTTTTAAATCTCCTAAGAGCAGTTAAACACTCAGAAGCAAACATCCAGCTGTTATTTGGATTCACAAATTATTTTCAGAATCTTAATCACAAAAACATAAAATAGTTTGAATTGGAAAGGACTGCTGGAAATTATCTAGTCCAACACCCATCAACAGCAAGAGAAACAGCAGTGATTACAGCAAGACTAATTGCAAAATGGGGCTGCAAAGACTCTCCTAATTTTCCTCTGCTTCAAGTATTAATGGCAACTGAAGCGTGAGGTTTGGGGCTAACGCAGACCCATTGCAGAGTGCGAATGTGCCCAAGTGTGTCAGACCAACCAAGGTTTATTTATTATATATGTATTTATACATACRTATGYATTTATATTCAGTGRTTGGGATCWGTCTCTTSTCCCAAGAAACAAACAATTGGACAAGAGAAAATGGCCCCARGTTTTGCCAGAGGAGGTTTAGATTGACTCTWAGGAAAACTTTCTTMACAGAAGGGGTTGTCAGGCACTGGAACTGGCTGCCCAGRGCAGTRGTGGAGTCACCAACCCTGGAGGGATCTAAAAGCTGTGCAAATATGATGCTTGGGGATGAGGTTAAGTGGTGGCCTTGATAGTGCTGGGTTAAGGGTTGGACTTGATGATCTTAMAGGTCTTKTCCAACTTATGATTCTATAATATTCATAAATATATGGAGGAGTTTCAACATATATACTACACATATATATTATATAATACTACATATTATTATTAAATATAACATAGACTGTTAACAATATTAGTACATATGATAATAAATTATTATATGTTTAATATATGTTAGACGATATATAATAAATGCATAGTATATAATATGTCACGTATATGTTGTATATGTAGAATAAAATATATCTATTCTTATATGTAGTAGAATAAAATATATTCTTAAACATAATTATGTATAAATATATTTAAATAACGTGTTTCAAATTATTTGTATTTAAATGAAATAATATTATATAAAGCATATAAGGGATACAAATAAAAACATGTATTAACTACGTATATATAAAGTATATGTAGAGAAACTCCTCCATATATATCTGAAACGGTTTTTAAGGGCTTTTTGCACCGGGAGAAGCCGCGCAGCCGCACCTGCTGAGCAGCGAGGGGGTCCCTGCCCGGGTCCGGGTGTCGCCGAGCAGCCGCGGGGTCCGGAGCGGRGCCGGGGCCGCTCCGTGCCCGAMRCACCGRGCGGAGGGGCCGCASAGCGGGAGAGCGCGGGGGGCCCAGCGCCGCAGGATCCCTGCGGGGACASGGGATAATATCAGCACAAACGTCCCAGGCACAAACCCCCAGCCCCGACACCGAAAGCGCATCCACACTGATACCGCCCGGGCCCCGGTCCCGGTACCGATACCGACCCGCCAGGGCCCCGCGAGCCGCCACCGCCGCCATGGCCACGCTGCGCCGGGCGGAGCCGCGCCGGGTCCCGCCCACGGGGGGMTGCCAGCGGTACCTGTGTCCGTCCCGGAGCCCGGGTACCGGGGGTTCCCCACACACCCGGGGTACTCCTCGTCATCCCTCCGTTCCCCGGAACCAGCCCGGTCCCGCTCCGTCCCCACTCGCACCCGTCACATTTGATTACAGCCGCCCACCGACCCTCCGCCCCAGGGGCTTTAAACCTGTCACTAAATTCTCCTAAAAAAACAAGTTGATTTATCTTATTGTGAACATTACTGATGTATTCTAATTTTTTTTCTCGTCAGAAATCTGGCTGGAGTGCTCGAAGGATGAAATGAAAGTGGCTTCTGAGGGCTCTAAGCGAGAGCAGGTTTATGAGCGAACTGTGARAGATTACACCTATAAATTGTTAATGAATGGTATAAAATGTGCTGTGTTAGATTCAGACTGGGGACTGGAGCATCTCTGTCCTGAGGAAAGGCTGAGGGAGCTGGGCTTGTTCGGTCTCGGGAAGAGACAACTGAGGAGGGAACCTCATCTATGTCAGTGAGTGTCTGCAGGGCGGGCTCAGAGCAGGGACCAGGCTCTGCTCCGTGGCACCAGCAATGGCACAAGGGGAACAGGCACAAACTGATGCCCAGGAAGTTCTACCCGAACATGAGGAAGCACAACTTGACTGTGCAGTGACCGAGCACTGAACAGATTGCACAGAGGGCGTGGAGTCTCCCTCACTGGAGATATTCCAGAAYTGTCCTATTCAATCCTGTGCCGTGTGCTTTGGGATGACCCTGCTTGAGCAGGGAGGTTAGGCCAGATGACCCGCTGTGGTCYTTCCTAACCTGACCCATTCTGTGATTTTTATTTCTATTTTATTCAATTCTGTCCCGCCCGGAAGGTCGCGGGAGCGCGCGGGCCCCGCTCCGCGCACGCGCCCCGCCACGCGCCGCCACCGCCCCGCCCCGCTGTCGTCGCGCGGACCGTCCCCGCCCTCCCATTGGCCGCGCGCGATCCGTCACGTGCGGCCGCCCCCTGGCGGGGCGGGAGCGCCCGCGCAAGCGCATTGCCCGCTGAGGGGGGGGCGGAGGCGGCGCCGGCAGGACCCGCGCACGGCGCCTTCCCGCGGGCCGCGCCGGCCGCCGCTCGGAGCCATGCTGCGGGCGTGCCGCCGAGCGGGGCTCGCCGCGGCCAAGCAGGTGAGCGTTCCTCTGGGCAACCCCGCGACCCACCCCCGCTGTAAGCAGTTCTGCGGCCCCTGCGGCCCAGCCAGGCCTTCGGGAAAGGGGAGTCCCTGTGACCGCGGCTCGGCGCGCGCTGAATGACTCCTCACGCACGGGCCGCGATTGGCTGCGCMGCCTTTGACGGGCGGCCGCGACCGCCAACGGACATGAGGGGCGGGCGCTGGTGTGTGGGTTGTACTACCAGTCCCAGCGTGCACCGCGGCAGCACAGCGCGGGACGGAKTGAGGCGCCGCCTCAAGGCACGCCGGGTCTCGTAGTCCTTAGCGGGCTGGCGGGGTCGCCGCGTTGTTTGCTGGGGGCTGTAGTCCAGGCCGCCATGGCTGTGCTGGGCCCGTAGCCCCAGCCCGCAGCACCCGGCCCAGACCCCGAGACAGCGCCGGGAGCCGCGGGCGTAGCCCGGGGGCCGACAGGGTCTCGTTGGGGTTGCGCATAGCCTTCTGGCTCTTCGCGGGTGGCGGGGGAACAGGTAGCGGGCGCGCTCCCCGGCGGGGAAGGACGTGACCTTGCTTTCCCCGGGCGCGGCCTCCCGCGCTGCCACACCTTGACCCACGCGGTGGGCCCGGCCGCCCGAAGTGTCGGGAGCAGCCCGTCCCCGTGTGTAGCATGGCGCGAGTGGTGTCAGCCCTCAGGTTTAAGAGGATCCTGTCCGCACAGTGGGACGCGAGGAGGACACAACTCGCGATGCCGGGGSTAGAAGTGTCCGTGGGACTCGTGGTTTGTATCCTGGACCTTTGCCTCTCCTTATCAGCAGAGATAAGGATGATGATGTGCTGTGGGGCCTTTTTAAAGCAGTAGGCTAACTTCAGGAAGTCACAGGGGTTTATCGGTGAGGGTGGCTCCTTTATCAAGGCCCCAGCTTGCATTTCAGCTGCCTTCTTAACTGGTAAAACATAACCTGATTAGGTCACTTTTATATCCTGCTCTCCATCCCAGTGTTCATTACCYTCTGTTCACACGTTTTACCAAAGGAGAAGCCGTATGTTCTTCCCTGTAAAGCTCCAGCCTTTCTCACTGCAGTGGCTGCATTTCTTGTGCTGCTCTGTAAGGCTGTAGAGTCATTGGGCCAGATCACCTGATGCCTACTGAAAAAAGGCTCTGGGTTTGCCGGGCTGTGGAAAGTTTCATCTGGAAGCTGAGAAGATGGAAACCAGACTTTGGCAGATATTTATCACTTGGGGCTATTTGCATGCACTCGGCCTTTAACAAAATGTGTCTGAAATGACTCTATGGCTCCAGAACAGTCAGGGTGATGTGCTTTGCAGCTRGAAGTTGGTCATCGGGCTATAAATATTTGGTGGAAGAGTCACAGAATGGTTTGGATTGGAAAAGACCTTAAGATTATCTCATTCCAAAGCCCTGCTGTGGGCAGGGACACCTTCCACTAGACCGGTTTGCTCCAAGCCCTGTCCAGCCTGGACTTGAACTCCTCCAGGGATGGGRCAGCCACAGCTTCTCTGGGCAAGCTGTGCCAGTGCCTCCCCACCCTCACAGGGAAGAATTTATCCCTAAGAAGTTGCAAACACAGAGATGCCACAGCACTCTGTGTGTTATCTGTACCAGATTGCTTGTGGTGGAGACTGGGAAAACTGTATTCATTCTTTCCTACTGTGAGCTGTGTGCATGGAGCATCACTAAGCTTGTAACAAGTAAATTAAAGTTATGGCTTTGAGAGAAGAGGGTGTTCATCACTTCGATTTCAGAAATGTTTTTGTGCAGTGCTGCAGAGAGACTTTTCTCTTGCTTGAAGTATTTTTGTGGTTTCCTTTGAAAGGAAACACRGGGCTTATAGTAAAAATGTGTGATATTTGATTGAGTCTTGAATGACGGTAAATGACTTAAGAGTTCTATGGTCAGATGTCTTTGTYGTACCTGACCTCTGTCTTAATGAAGACAAACTTCTCTGAAGTTTCTGGTTTGCTCTTTCTGTTTAAGTGCATGAATCCCATGTTGCAGAAATTCAGGATCAGGATGCTGGAGCCTGGTGCCTAAGAGAGATTGAGCTAGGACTGAATAAAGAGAGGGTGGTGTGTCCTGTCTCTGGTTATTGGAAGATACACATAAAACCTGCAAGACAGATTTTATTTGTTTAATGGTGTTCTGCCATCCTGTGCCTGCCCTGAGCGTTGTACCAGGGTGAGCTCGTGTGGATATCCTTAAATGTCCTTCAATCACTGGGGCTCATAATATTAACTAGAGTGAAGGTGTGGTGTGCCCTGCAGAATGATTCTCATGATGATCAAACAGTAGATAATGAATGTGAAATAAAAAGCATTTAAGAAGTCGAATGAAACAAATGCCACATAGAACTGCTGGAGGAGGAGAAAAAAATTCGAAACAGCTGCCCTGCAGTGCCCTTGCTGTGGGCATCCTTGCTCTCTACATGCTGCCTCATCCAAAGGGTTTTCTCTGTCTTCTGCATGTCAGCAAGTGGTTTATTGCTGCCTTTTGCAGGGCACAGCAAAGCACGTGTGATGTATTGCTCCCAAATCGTTTGAGGTGTTATTACAAATAAATGACGGGTCTAAAAATTTACAAACTCACTGAAAGTATGCAAAGGGGAGATTAGAAACTACCTACAAGTTTCCAAATTATGGTGGTACAGCAGATATAAGCAATATTGTTATGGTAGCCAAAAGAGAGCAATGCTTCTTTTAAAATTGATTTTTTAGAAAAACAGTGATTTTTGGAAATATTAGTGTATTTGGATGTGAGGGAGGAAAATTGAACTTGGGCTTCTGTTCATAAAACATGGATACCTACAGATTTTCATTTGCTGTTCCATAGGCCAGCTGTGGAAATTAGTTAAGTGTCTTGAAAGATTGAGTTAGTGGGCGCTTGTTTTGGGTTTAATTTTTGTTCCCATTGCTACATGTGTGAGTTCCAGTGCCATAGAGGGAAGGTGTATGTTTTGGTTCCTCTCACCTTGATGAAAAATAAATACAAATGAGGATTTGGCTAATTCTAGAACAATCCAGCTTGGAAGAGATCTCAAAAGATCATCTGGTCCAAAGGGCATCTGGACTAAAATCATAATCTCTCCAAAAAAAAACCCTCCTGGTGTACATAAATTCTGAGCTAAGAGAAGCAGCTTTTCTCCTCTGCTCCCTCCTGTGCTCCCTGAGCACAGCCTGATCCCAAGGGCAGGAACTGAAGTGTTTACTGAAGGTGTAGAGCTGCTGTAGGTCTGGTGCTGTTTGCCATCRTTAGGTGTGGGTAGGGGTTTTAGCCGATATGGACATGGGTGAGCTGGCCCAGCCACCACGGTTATGGTTGTGGCAGCCTCCAGGATCACCCAGAAGGCAAGTCCAGCCTGAGCAAGGATGTKGGAGTGATGGTGTGGGGTGGGATAATCTCCAGAAAGCCTGGCCAGGAGCGCAGGAGTGATGGCTTATTTCCAGGGGAGCACCAGGCAAAATGGCACAATCACAAAGTGTTGGAAGGGACTGGAAGTCTGAACTGGTCAACAGAAAATCAGGGCTTTTTTCCTCTTCTCATTTTGTTGGAYTGAGCTGTATGCATAATGCTCGATTATTTTGCTCCTCAAGTACTTCAGTGTAATAAGAGCATACTGAAAGTCAGGAGCATGTTCAAAAGTTGGTAACAAAATTATTTGYGAGGCTTTTACTAGTGAGATTCCTCTTGAAAGGGCCAGTGAAGCCTCATTAAAGGCTCCTAAGGCAGCCAAGCCAGATGATCAAAAATGTTACAGAATATATTTATTATTTTGTTGTCCATTCTGTCCATTATAAATCAAAAAACCAACCACATAGAGAGGGCTTCTGAAGGTCTCAGGG